TTTTCTGTGTATTGAACTTACAGATATTAATTTACTATCTTTCGTTATCCTCCTTCAAAGACCTCAATCCTTTATTCGTTTTTTACTGAACTGTCGTTAATATCATCATCAGAATAAATTTCTTTTAGTAATTTATCATTCGTCCCATTGTTTCCCACTCGAAAGATGCCCTGTAGCCAGATGTCACTTAACGGTCTTCTCAACATGTGCCCGATCCATCTCCACTTTAATCCACATATCTTTTTGAGCGACAGGTTCATTCCCAGAATTCTTTATTGATCATTCTTTCCAACCGGCCATATGATCTTCAGTAAAAGTTGATAAAAGTCTTCAGGAGTCTGTTGGCAATGCTTTTCATTATTCGTTCGCCAAGTTTCTGATCCATATAGAAGACTTAACCGACGTGACATTAATACTGAAAATCCAAATTTTCTTTTGTACTTTGTTGTGTATGCTGAGTGGAGATTTCCAAACTGATTTTGGAGGAGTGATAAAGGTCTGTCTTCCCCTTCCGATTCTGAATGGTTTCGATATCTTTATCCATGCCTCCATCTGTAGTTCAAACGATTCTGCCTAGCCAGATAGATGAAGGAAGTGACCTCTTTCAAATTTATTCAGTTGATAGTAAATTGGTGGTTGTTGTTGTTGGTTGGTTATCTTCATCACCTTCGCCTTCTGTGTGTTCACTGAAATACCTGTTTCCCTGCTGCCAACTTGTTGGTTTTCTTCTGTAAGTTTTCGTATTTATGTAGCACTACACACAAATCGTCCTTGCAATCCAAATCTTCTGCATTCCCCTTATCAGTCCAACATGTTCCTGTCTTCTCAATTCCCGCGTACGCTTAACCTCATAATCTGGTCCACCACAATCTAAAATATCATCGGTGATAGTAGTCGGCATTGTCTTACTCCAGTCTTTCCTTCAAAGGCATTATTGAGTTTTCTGTTTTGCATCACTTGGCATTTACTACTGTCATATAGCCGTTGAATAAGGTTGACAATGATTTACGGCACTGCACTTCATAGTGCTGAAGTTTCCTAATTACTTCGCAGTCAACGCTGTTGAAGGTCTTTTCGAAGTCGACGAAATTGAGGTAGAGATTTGACTGCCACTCTATGGTCTGTTCGATAATGATACGTAGAGTTGCAATTTGATCGACACGTGATTTGCTTTTTCTGAATTAAGGTTGTTTCGGGGTGGGGTGGAGGGTTCTGCATCTAGTACATCTTTTATTCTCTCAATCAATTAATAGTAATATGATTTCACAACTTCTTACTCAGTAAGTCAATAAGCTCTATTAGTTTTCGTAAATCTAAAAAGGAACTCATCAAGTAAAGCGAATCTGGTCTACTTCGCAAACTGCACCTTTAGGTTCATACCTTCAAAATCCTCATTCTCTAGTTGACGATTTTTTTTATCAGCGAACCGGGAACTGTAATTGGGTTGACGAGTGGTGACAGTCCTTAGAAACTATGGGAGTGTAACTGGAGAAGATAGGTGAGTTCGTAACAGACCTTTATTAAGGACAAACACAGCATATTTATGTATCCTTAACCACATTAAAGTTTGGCTAGGCCAGATGAGAATAAATTGTTCTGATTAGTATGCAATTAGCTCAAGGTTAAACAAGTTCCATAAGGATATTTATTGTCCACAACGTAAAATAAATCAAGATTTGGTAATAGAAGGCCGGAATGGGAACAAAACTCATCGGGGCGGATCATTAAAAAAGTGTTGTACTTGAAACTAAAAGTATGCGCATAATGAATAGTTTGTCTTTCCATTTCGTTTTCAGATCACATGGATATGAAGGATAGAAATAATAAAGCGATTCCTGCTAAATTTGGGCTGAAAAAATTATTTCAGCAATCATTAAATTTTGGACAGGTTCCCATATTTCTTAAGATTTCAGATAGAGGTGATGTTCGGCACATAAAGGTATTCGTCCTACTTGCATTACCGTCACTATTCACGAATATGACCAGCAGTAAAATCTCACTGTCACGCTACACCAATCACACCATTGGAGTGTTAATATTATTTGTTTACGAAATTATTAAATTAACTTTTCCGGCACGGTGCTACATACCTTAAGGAAAATTACTTCCAGTCATCACATGACTGTTATCTAGGCAAACAAACCCAACCATTACAACAACATATGGAAGCCATCGTTTAAGAAGACATTATTTTTCACCGTATCACATCATCTGCACTACCTAAAATTGTGATACTTGAATAAGCGGATAATTAACTCGGATGCATATCAGTTTTATACGACTGGAATCAATGACTACAGATTTATGGATTTTTATTGTCATACATTAAAACTCAGATCTATAGTTGGTTTGCCATATAGGAATATAGCTTCTTAATCCTCGGTATAACTGTTGTGTCAGTATGTATTAGATTCGGGATTCCCCACAGATGCCAATATGTTATGTCGAACTTCTCGTTGACGGGACCTAATATGGAGTTATGTAGAATAAAACTAATGAGAATTAATCTGATGCTCAGTATTGACTACCCACAGGACAAAGTTACCTGAATTTATAGAGAGTTGTTACCAGTGGATTCCACTCGGTCGGAAGTGAGGATAAATGTCCACTGATGACATTGGTTGGCGGTCACTCGAAAGACACGAATTGGTAGATAAGGGAATTCATGGGCCATCGAATAGGGTCTGAATGGTCTACCAGCTTGATTTAATATCGGAGCGTCCTGCATTCGAACCAAGATGGTGGCTTCGTACTGTCAATGAGTCTCAAACTTGGACAAAACAGTTGTTCGGCACCCTCTGTCGGTTTTCAGTTTTTCCCTAACAAATCGTATCACTGCAAATTAACTCTTGGAAATAAAACTATCATCTTTAAGTAGAACTCCAATATCATTCTAAAACAGTCGAAGACGTTGAGAGGTAGCTTCAAATGAAAGTTAGCGAAAAGTTATTGACCATAGATATCTTCGTGCACCTGATCGCATTAGAGGGATGCTGAGATGGATCGTAGAGCGTTCGATGAGGGAGAAAATGTCAATTGGTAAGGTTGGAAAGCTTGATCAATTATGGCTACGGTTTGCGATGCATGTGAAGTCAACGGAAAACAAAGGGTTAGAGGTGTTCAGAACAAAACTGGGCACCACTGAATGGCAATTTGTCTTAGCCACTTACTTACCTATGTTGAGTCCTTACGATACTAAGAATCAATATAGCTGGAGACCATTTGTGACTTATTCACTGGTTCACAACGTCACAGATGTATTTATTCCTTGTTATGTCCCACACCCTGAAGACCTCAAGTGGTCTTTTGTTCCTGTTATGTACTGTTGAGTGGTTAATAGTCCTGACGCGGAAAGAGGAAAATCAGAAGACCACCACGTTCACGATGATACTTGTATTTTCCAAACCAGGAAAAAATGACTGTCACACAAGTGTGTCAGTGAAAGGGTACGTAGTGTACGAAATGTGTGAACGAGTGTGTAAAGGTGAAAATTACAACAATAAAAAAAATAATACAAAAACAAAAAAAAAATATTTTTTTCCTTGTTTTTTGGTTTAAAAAAAAAGGATTTTTTTTTTTTAAGGAAAAACTTTTGGTATAAAATAAAAAAAAAAAAATAAAAAAAAAAAAAAAAAAACATAGTTCCTACCTGTTCTATCATCATTGGGTCACTGTGCTCTTTCTTTATTTACTTCTCCAAGGTGAGGCAACTTAAACTGATTCACTTCTGTGTCAGGTTCATTGATTAGTCAGTCAGCTGCCCCTTCCCCGATTGTTCGAACAGAAGCACATGGATGTTAGTGTAAAATTATCGGTCACTTTTTCATTTTAGATCCCGCAGCTAATATGCACTATTGGGATTAAAACTAGTTTCCCGAAACCTTAAAGATAAACACTGTAACCAGTATTCTGATGATTATTTCACAGCATGTACAATTTCATTCATGCCAGCGTAATGTCTGAGACAATGAGTTTGCTCTAATTTTACTTTTGGTTTAATCTGTTTGCCTCTTGTTATTGTATTTTTAGCAGTTAATATCACCTGACATTTTCAAAACTCAGTCTCAATTATCGTTTACTACAGTTTTAAATACAATTTATTTCAGAAAATATAAATAAACGAATGAAACATAACTGATGTGTAGATACAGTGTTTTTTTAACGGATTGCCCTTGGCACACCCAAGCCACTGGCTGCATATATATATATATATATATATCATTGTTTCCTTTAGTAAATATACGCTGGCTGATACTGGGCTGTACTTTCCGGCTCACGTTGTTGTGTCTTCTCGCTAAGTATAGCGGGCTGGGGAACAGTTTACTGTCGTACTATGTTGTTGGCATTAGGCTAGCGATATTCGTGATTAGAACGTCCGTGTGCAGCTCGGAATCCTCATTCAAATAAAGATATTGTGAAATACGACAGTCACAATATCATAATATATTGGCGATAATGTTATCAGAGTCTTCAACGTTGGACAAATTTCTCGAACAACCAGTTTAGTTCAGCCTGGACACTACAGTGGTCATGAAATCAATGCAGTTCCGTACACCTCTCAATCTTCTGCATTAACCTCTGGTCAAACGCCCACTTGTTCTGCCTCAAACGTCTATCGTCCTAGTTTTCCACGCAATATCAATCGACGCCCAAGAATGACACCTCCACCATACTTCGGGTATTATAGTTTTCGGTATTTCGTCAAATCTTGTCCATATAAGCAGTACCAACGCAATAATGTTGACCACAAAGATGGCTTTAGCCAGCAACACATAAAACGATACTAGGAACAGCTACCCTCAGCAAGTCACCGCAAACGGCGTGATCTCCACACCCTTGTCCAGCTTGGGTCCCTATTCAACTCAACGTAATGCAAAATATAAAAGCAGCGACATCACAACGATAACGCAAGTTAAGGAAACAACGCAGTTAACACTTAAAAATAAATGAAAGGTGATCATATTTTTGCGTGAAAAGTATCAGCAGGATGATTGTAAATTTTACACTGATGGATCTACAGTCATTCTAGAATTTAAGTGTGTACGGACCCACGTTGGATGTGCAGCTTCAATATCTTCGACAATACGATTAACTGCCGCACAAAGAGTTTGTATATGCATGCTCCAGGATGAAACGGCAGGATCTCGATCTAAATGAACAACAACAAAAAATAATGTAATCCAATAAGTATGACACGAAAACAAGAAAATGAAACGATTTAGAAAAACAATTAATTTTCCCGTTTGACCACGGATTGACATCAGTTAGATAACAAGGAGCAACCAGTACTGTAGTACTGAACAGCTGTTTCGTCCTAGTTTGGGACTCCTCTGTAGCATGCAGCCCCACTGAGGTTCGAACTGAGAACCTACCGGTTACAATTCAAACTCATAGACCATTCAGCCATTAGGACCCGACTAAACAGTCCATGAATTGTAACTGCTACCAATTCGAGATTTTCTAGCGCGACCACCAACCAATATTATCAGCGAGTAATTGTCCTAATTTTCGACCGGGTGCACCCACTTGTCACAACTTCTCCCTATAACTCCAGGTAACTTCCTCCTGCAGCCAGTCAACAGCGACCATTAGATTAATTCCCATTTGGCTGATGGTCGCGCCCAAATCATGAATTTGCTAGAAGTAAGAATGCATGGGTCACTGAGTTGGGTTCCAGTGATTGAATGACCTACGAGCTTAGCTTGAAATTGGGAGGTCCCGGCTTCGAATTCCGGTGAGCTTGCACTACCGATGAGTTCCGAACTAAGACGAAACAGCTGTTCAGTATGACAGTACTGGTTTCCACTGATTTTCTAATTGATATTAATCCCTGGTCAAACTAAAGAACAAATCATATCCGTACAAGGTAATTCTTTAAAATTTGTTTTTAATTATAGACCAACAACTTTTCGCAAATTAGTGTTACATGAATGCTTCGCGCATAACTCGAAACACCCGAAATGTATGCGCCTGCACTCAGGTGTCTCCACTGACACCTGGACCTTCTCCTCGCACTTCTACAGTTTCAAACACTATGGAATTATCCACTTGATATATAAGGGCTACAACGACTGCCTTTCATATTCAGTGGGCATAAATCTTCGTGTTTTTTACTGTGAGAAGGTGATCAGTGTCGAATATCTCAATCCTACTACTATCATCATCCCATAAAAAGAAAGATGGAACCTGCAAAAAAGAACTCCTACGTTAGAATGAAACCATTAATAACTGCAAACTGTGAAAATGGAGAAAATATGGGATGTCCCGATTCATACTAAGACTGTTTTGCTCAATGTTTTTTGTGAATAACAAATACATAAAATCCATCTTCTCACTCTTCCACAACCTGACACATGATCTAGTTTACCACAATCGGGGAAGTCGTCAATGACGGTAGATAGTCTTGTCATATTCCTATCTTTACTTGAAAGGCTTCTGAGAGATGTTCCTTTTGTGAATTACTTGTCATCTGGAATCATCACATAGTTTAATTGTTTTCAATTAAGTTCGCAAACATTTTCTCCACTGCACTCCATAATGTGGGAGTGTGGATCAGCTCGAGAATCCTTTGAGTCGATCAGCACAATGTTTTCACTGTCCCACTTCTTTGTTAATTGCGTTCCCTTCACTATCTTTCACAGGCTTTATCTGCATCAACCTCTTCCCGCATATCAACCTGGTTATTTGATGTAGTGTTGTGAGGTCTCAACTACCGCATGTCTCGATGACACCAGGGACGCTACTCGACGACCATTTGGATTTTCATACAATAAGCGATGAACCACACCTATAGTGTTGAAGATAAGAGTCATACTACCCGGTTACCAAAACCTCGGCCAGTAAGGCAGGACTCAAAGGTTGAGTATTGAGCACAGCTTTACAACATGTGCAGATGCGAAAATTCAATAATATTCAGTTCAAGTTTGTCCACTCATTGATAAAAATTACAGAACTAGTGGAAACCAATACTGGACGGCTGTTTCGTCCATGTTTAGGACACTCACCACCACGGTTCGAACCAAGGACCTACCCGGTAACGGTTGAAGCTCGTAGACTATTCGGCCACTGGGATCCAACTAGTCACTCAAGAATTCTAACTTCTACAAAGTCGGGAGTTTTTGAAGCAACTGACACCGGCCAATGTCATCGGCGGGTTTTTGCCATCATTCCGGACCATGTAGACCCTAATGATCGCGGCTTCGCACTAGAACTCCAAGAAACTTACCATAGCTAGTCACTAGCGTGTATAAGATTAATTTCTAACGGTTCTCTAACTGATATCAATCCGCCGTAAAACTCGGAAGAGATCGAATCCCTACAAACTGACTCTAGACAACATTTGGTTCATAGAATTATTATATGATTAAGAAATACTTACTTTCAAAATGAATAACACCATCAATTTGATCAAGTTTTGCATTTAATCTTCCTTCAGTAATCATTTGAGCAGCAATTGATTCCGCCTGATATATGAAAACAAATATTACTTACATTAAACACACACATATATTAAACAAAGATGAATTATTTATATAAATGCAATGTATTTCAGTTAACATAGAAACACAAGTAACAAATGTCATAAACAGTATGACTACATTTATGCTTTTAAAAACCAAACGTGAATAGATAGAATATCGCCGATAAAATGTATAAACGACTGAATAGTAGAAGTCTATCACTTAGCCAGAATACAATTAATTCAGTTAAATCCCTTTGCGTTCCAAGTGGAACATGCGGCTTCAACAGAACATCTTCACTTTGTCTTCTGCACCTGGCCCTACACAATTGGACATGGGTTCTCATCTCCTCCATGTCTAATTCCTTCGTTTCCCATTCAGGTCCCACTCGAGAGATGCCCTGGCGTGAGAGGTCACCCAACAGTCTTCACCGAGTGTGTCCTATATATCTCCATTTTCTTTCAAATATCTATTAAGTAATAGGTTCTTGATTGGTTCGTTCCTTGTCAGTTTCTTGTTGATAATTCTTTCTGGCTGGCCGTTTGATCTTCACTATGCAGCCAGCAAAGGAGGCTGTTGATAAAAGCCTGCAACTAGCTGTTGAAAATGATTTCCGTGACTCGCTTAGCAAGGTTCTGATTCACCTCAACGTAACACATTAGTGTTGAAAATCCAAATCTTGTTCCTTAGATTTCCACACTGATTTCAGACTGATGACGGTCTATTTTGCCTTTCCAATCCTATCTGGCTTTGATATCCCCATCAGTGCTGAATGGCTGTATTTGAAACGATGGTGATTAGATAAGTGAAGGAAGTAACCTCTTTCAAATTTATTCCGTTGGTAATGATTGAGGCTTGTTGTTGCTGGTGATGGTTGATTATTTTCATCATCCCCGTCTTCTCTATGTTCACTTAAATTTCTGTCTTTGCTGCCGACCTCTTCTGTCAGTTTTTTTTTGGTTTTCGCCTGTAAGCGTTCAAGCCTTTATAGCAACAGACATAAATAGTTGGCGAATTCCAGATCTTCTAGAGTCTTCTTATCGGTCCAACGTATTTCTGTTTTCCCACTTACCACAGTCTAATCTATAATCCAGTCCAGTCCAGTTAGAAATATCATTGGTGTTAATGAACAGCCTTGTGCTACTCTTGTATTCATTTCAAAGACTTTACTGAGTTTCCCATTGTGAACCACATGACATGCGCCACTGTCACATAGCTGTTGAATGAGGTTGATAAAGATTCGGGGTATACCATGGTGTTGAAGCAGTTACCAAATTACTATGTGGTCAACGCTGTCGAAGACCTTTTCAAAGTCGATGAAGTTGAGACAGGATGAATATATATATATAATGGATACAAATAATTCCAGTACTCAAATGTTGGTTTGTGGGGATTTGATTGGTTACAGGATTTCACCACCAGCTGACATTGGTTAGAGAACCATTGGAAAACCTGGAATGCCGTTTCGTTCTAGTTCGGGACTCTTCATCAGTAGGCACTCCAGTACAAACGTATCGTACTACTGAAGATTCCCAAACTAGAACGAAACAACTGTCCAGTACTCCCAGGTTTTCCAATGGTTCTCTAACCAATGTCAGCTCATGATGAAATCCTGTAACCGATTTACTACTCCTTGGTTTTCAATGATCTCTCTAACCTGATGTAGGTTCATGATAAAATCTGACAAATTGAAATTAAATTCTATATGAGTCTCATCAGAAAAACTTAGCATTTTGTATAAATCAGATTAATTCTCCTTTTTTAATTGGTTCATGAGTGTCAACGGAATGCAGATTCAATCACACACACACACACACACACACACAGAGATACATGTGGACAAATAATATCAGCATAAGTCGCAGTATTATAGAAGGACAGTTTAATTTGCTACATGCCATTATTTGTACATAAAGTAGAGGTTGACCGAAAAGAAGACAAAAAATGAAGACGGTATAAAGGCAATAGAATGCTTTGATTGAACACTAGGCAGTAAGTAACTAGTCTCATGAGCCTAGTCCTTTGTTTGGCGCAAACTGAATTATCCTATCAGTCAAGTTTACGATGTGGCCAATATGCTAGGTGGCTCACGAAAACGGTGCGCACTGAATTGTTGTTATCAGATAACTGGAGGTAATCAGCAGGAAGCTTTGCTTGATCTGGCACTCAATAGTCAGCAACCTTAAGGGGATTCATATCCCTTCCCTCTCAGATTCGAACTTGTGTCCCTCACTGATGTAGTCAGTGACGTTACCATTTATAGAATTCAGTCTGCACCAAACAAAGGAGTAGACGGATAACACTAGTTACCTACTACCTAGTGTTCAATCAAAGTATGTAATAAAGTCCTACAGGAGGTCAATCGCGAGCCAGGCAGGAAACCTAGGTCCAAGGCATCCTGCAATTGCCTCTAACAATCTAGTTGTAGAATGCTCCTGGTCAATAGGATAAAAGATAAATAAATAAAAAATAAAAGAAATAAGACATTACAGTTACTATTCGGATTATTGCATACACGTAAATCTGAGCCAAAATGATCTATTTTAAACCACATCATGTAATAAGCCTAGTTTTTAACTAAAGGTTTTTTTTTCACACGAAGCTCCATACATTCATCGACCAACGAACCTACTACCTCCCAAAAATTGAAAGCTTAAACTTACCTAGTGTTTCGTTGATTAAGTTGAATGCAACCAGATTGCACTCGACTTGTATTTATTCCTAAAGATCGGAAGTGAGAATTAGGGGAACATCTGAAGCTACATATGTTTCAACTTATGGATAGAGGCACGGTTATGGGGTAACTAATGATTAGTGTACTATAACTTTCCGTTCACTAAGAAGAAAGTTACACATTCAGTTAACAAAGTATGCCGTGACGTCAATGAAGTGAACAGTCCTAACTCAACCGCGTCGGGCAAATAAAGTCCTGAGGTTTAAGATGACTTGTATGGAGTTTATTTCACCACAGTGAGAGTATAATGCACAAGGATACTTGGTTCATGAGCCCTAAATAAAACGAAACACACTTTTCGAACTCATTAGCGAGGTGAAAACTGAATGGTGACTGAAATGCAACGTGATGGAACACCGAAGAACGTTTCACAATGTAAAACATTGTCGTAAACAACATACACATGAAGGTGTTATCTTCCATGTGGAATAACATACTTGGCATATTTTGTTTATCATTCTAAGTGACTAACTATACTCAACACAAAACTTTGCACAGAACTGCAACAGTTCAAGTTGACACACTCCATGTATCACACAGAGGAAGAAAAGGGAGTGAAAAAATAGATTCAAAAGGACTGGAATAAGCAAAAATGTGAGGGAGAAAGAATAGCAACGCAGATGAACATGAGAGTTTAATGGATATGAGAGATCTCGAGCCATATCACCAATTGTCTCCAGCTATTGGTTCTTAGAATTCCAAAGACCTCAATCAGCCAGTCAGTCTACACCTAACTTACATGGCCAACTGAAACTAGTTGTCAAAGACTTCATGGAATGATGCCATGTTTTCGTTTGACCACCATTAGCTCTTTTCCAACCTAATCTTATGGTTGGAAACAATTGGTGACATGGCTCAAAACCGTTCTCAGTGGCGCAGATGCATCCACTCCCTGTGACTTATGATCTCCAATGAAACTGTTTTGTTATTCTTTATTCTCCTTTGTCTCACACCTCTGCTCACTGTTTCTATTATGCTTTTCTTGTACTTTCTTCTCTTGCTTCGCGTGCTACACGGAATGTGGCGACTTGAACTTCCGCACATTTGTGCAAAGTTCTATGTCGGAAACAGACAGACAGACAATCTTATGTCAGCTAACACTGACTGTCGAGGGATGTGATAGCTAGGTATGAGTAACACATATCCTAGCCACTTTAGTGGATATCGCTTCACAACCTTAGCAATAGATTTTCCCTCCTTACTTAACACTCGACGCCTAAACTCAGTATTACTCACAACATTATACAGTTTAACACGAGCAGAACTCGAACAGCCAGTTAGCCTTTTCATTTTTTCCACTTTCAATGGCCATGACTCACAGCCATAAGGGAGGAGGAAGCGAACTTTTTGCAGTACGCACGTTGTTTGATCGATGGCCGGATGTCACGTCTACGCCAAAGATGGAGTATTTTGGGAAATCCCACACGAGCCTTTTGTATCCGAGCTAAGACTTCGTCAGAAATCAGCCCATTAGGACTGATGTATTTCCCGAATAAGTGAAGTGGTCAAGATGCTCAATCACTTCACTCCCTATCTTCAAGTTAGGAGTCGATGTAGTCCAGTCCTATAGCATCATCTTACACCTGACAGAAGTAAATGGCATGCCAAAAATTCGAAGATTTCAGCTCAAGGTATTCAGCGCCTTCATCTAAGCGGACTATATCATCTGCATATTCTAAGCCAACAAGATTATTCTGTAAGAATGGCAATTAAGATATGTAAATACGATTATTTCCCTACAATTGGTTCATCACAAAAAGCTATGAACCACAATACTCAATTAGGAAAAGTCTACGACTATTGGTGGATGTTCTTCACATGGAATTATTACACAACAGTAATGAAAACTTGTGTCACAGCTCTAGATAATCAGTAACGACAACCCATCACTGGTTATTGCACTGATATTAAATGAGTGATAAGATTTAATGCGCGTCGGTAGCACAACAGTAAAATGCTCTCCGACCACGCATGTTGTTCAGGGTTCGATCCCCGGCCGACGCACTCCTTTACCCCACCAAACCAGTGGTAAGACTGGTAAAGAGGGGAGCTTGGGCATGAGGCTAGCAATCCCATCCCGTAAAAATAAACATCACTGCTATCGAAACTTCAAGCCTCTAGCTTGAAGCCCTATGTTCCACTGGAAACGTGAAGGATTAAAAAAAAACAAGATTTAATAAGAACAGATATTTGAAGTATTACGGTATATTACCTCAGCTGTGGATATCTCTAAAAGAAGACCTAAATTGTCTAAAGTGATATTATTGTAAATAAGGCCAGCCGCTAACATATTGTGTTCAATTAAAGCACGTTCAAGAAGCATTTGTACAGAAGAATAACATGATGATGACGATGATGATAAATTTTGTATAGACGAGGCATCTTGAGCATTACTATTTCCTGTGTTATTGTCTGAAGCAGATTTCAACAAATGAGGATAATATTTAGTAAGCAACGGTTCCAAAGCAGACAATGATGAACGATTGATTAAACGTCCCATAAACCTGAAACATTAAAAAGCAATACAAGTTATACAACAACAAATTTAGACACTACTCAATCTAAATTGATATATTCTATGAGAAATACAGTGTAATTGACGATAAAACTCAGAAATAGCAAGTCATTTTATTCAATTATTCACGGACGATATCAAGCAAACCCAATGACTTACACGCAAAAACCAACAAGTGAGAAGGAGCAACAGCCAGTGACTTTAAGTGAACATAAGGAGACGGGATTGATGAAGATGACCAGCGGCTACCACGAACAACAGCAAGCAATAATCACTACTAACAGCAGAAATTTGAAAGAAGGAGACACTTCCTTCAGTCATCTAATCAGTATCGTTTCAACTACAGGCAGACGGAAAGGAGGGTGATTTCGAAACCAGAATCAGAAAGGCAAGTCAGACCTTCATCACTCCAAAATAAGTTTGGAAATCTACTGCACAGCTGTCAGCATAAACGATGAAATGCGGATTTTCAACACCAATATTAAGTCAGTCAGTTTTTCTATATGGACGATAAACTCGGCAAGCGAGTCATGGAAAGCATTCCGAACAGTCTACTGCAGGCATTTATTAACACCTGCCTTCAGTGGTCACATATTGAAAAAAAATAACCAGACAGAAAGAATTAGCAACAAGAAACTATGACGGGGAATAAGTTAACCAAGAATCTAATTGGTGGATGGTGGCTATCAATGGAATCCAGGATGCGCGTTTCGTCCTATTTGGGACTTGTCATCCGGATATGCCTGCATTCCCCAATGAGTGATGATGTTCCCAATGCTAGTCACCATCCACCAATTAAATTCTCATTACATGCCGAAACATCGTAGAAGCATCTGCACAAGAAGCCGACATGTCAACCTGAGACCGAGTACTTCGGTCCAATCAATCGACGGGAAAATGTAAAATTGAATTAAACAATTAACATGACCCGTTGCATAAGAGGTGGCTCTCGTGGTCCAAGTGGTCTAGTGAATAACGCTTCGGTGTTTGAAACTATGGGCAGTGGGTTCGAGCCTCGGTTGGGACAACATCACTCGCTGGGGATTACAGGTACATGCAGTTGGAGAGCCCAAAATAGGACGAAATGCGCATCCTGAATTCAACTGCTAGTCAACATCCACCAATTTACTTCAAGTTACATGACCAGACATCGTCGAAGTATCTGCACAAGAAGCCGATATGTCAACCTGAGACCGAGGGCTTCGGTTCAATCAATCGACGGGAGAATTTTAATTGAATTAAATAAGGGAACAAGTGATTGAAAATCCCTCCTTAACGATTCAATTATAATATTGATATACTTATTCGACTGTTTCAACTACTGTCCGTTTTACTCCTATGTAATTATTCCGACATTACCAAATTATGTGTTGACTCGATCCTTATTATTTGTCTTTGTCCTTGTTTAATTTCTAATTTAATGCTTCAATTTGTGGTTGGTAGTGTGTTGCTTTACTATGCGACTTTGCTTAATTATATCAAGGTCATCCTGACATTGGACTGTCTGTGGAAAAGGTTGGTGTGCGATTCTTGTAGACAGAGTTTTACCTCACCTTGCTGGGAATATTCTATTGGATCCTAAATTAATTCTTAAAGTTGAATTTTGGTCAAATAATTTTCTTCGACAGTACTTGTTTTGTACTTAGAAAGTTACTTTATCTGTATAGCTGCCTAACGGCAGTGTTGAGGTAATTTTGAGTTTCTGATGTTATCATTGTTGAATACGACCATAGATCTCTATCGACGAATAACCGTCTATTTGCTGTTTTTTTGGAGCCTTTTATGACTGTGAGTGTTTCAAAGAAGTTTTATCAATTGGAGATTGTGCATATATCAGTCTACCTGTTACTGTGGAACCAGGTACATTGGTCGTTCGATGCGTATCCTGTCCAAAAGGTTTCAACAGCACTATCCCACATGGCTACAAAAGGTAATAGTGGTTGTATAAGGAGTGCGATAATCGAACATCTTGTCAACACTCGTCTTTCCATCTCAACTAATACCTCCTTCAAAGCGATCTACAAACGCAAGAACAACCTACCTCCTTTGTATTGATGAAGCATTAGACATTCAATTGGAAAAACTAGAGTTATGTGTACAAAAGAAAATCTAACTATTTTCACTCTAATGGTAGCCACCATGTTGACTTCTTTTGAATTGATGTTTGTGTGCTTGTTTTTTTCTAACTCATTAAAACACTTGTATTTTTATAGAACTCTTAAATAATGCCATATTTTCCTTTGTTTCTATGTGCATCCTAATCACAACTCACACATTAAAGTATTCATCTTATTACGTAACTGTATTAAGCTTATTCAAACCTTTTTTATGTGTTGATTAACATCAATAACTATGTTTTTTTGACAACACATCACCACTACCCTCCTACCAATCTTCACTACCACCCTAGTTACAATTTGATTACTCGTCACAATTTTGAAATATCTTGACAACAATTTTTTAAATTTTTCTATCACGTTCCCAGTGGAACATAGGGCTTCAAGCTAGTAGCTTGAAGTTTCTGTAGCAGTGTTTATTTTACAGGATGGTGTTGATAGCCTCATGCCCAACCTTTCCTCTATACCAGCATTATTTCTGGCTTGGCGAGGTAAAGGAGTGCGTCAGCCGAGGATCGAACCCCGGACCATACGCATGGTCAGCGAGCGTCCTAACCGCTGTGCCACAGACGCCAAAATAAAGGGAGGACCGTGAGGCCTCCCTACTGACAAAAGCTACACGCCCGAGCGCACCCGATTAGGGTCCGTCGCGAGTTTCAACCCACCGAGCCGCAATGGTGAGTCTCCACCCGGGGTCAGAGGATTCTTGATCACCCTGAACCTGGCGCCAGGTCATTGACAACAATAACCTTAATTTATTTTTATTCTTATCGGACAAATCCAATGTACACACACGTATATATACAAAAAAAGTATATGCAATTGAGATTGTACAGTTAAGTTAACGAATTCGCCGCTGAAAAGAGACTCTTCGCTGAACTACGTGTTTTATTTTCATTAATGTCTCGATGGGAATTATTCATGAATTGTAGATCTGTTGGTCTATCTGCTAATATGTTATATCATCTACAACACTGGAGATGCCTCAAAAACTGATTTCTTTGCTGCCCTTGAATCATTATTCAAATCATCAAACTTGAACGAGGAAATACAGGAAGAGATAAGCCAAACAATCGTACCAATGGTCAAGCAGAAAAAGCAACACACACAACTCAACTCTCAAGAACTAAAGGCCCTCAAACAGCTGAAAAATAGGAAGGACATCGTCATTCTACCAGCTGACAAAGGAAGAACAACAGTAGTCATGGACAGAGAAGAATACACCAAGAAAGCTGAAGAACTACTCAAAGATGAGGATGTATATCAACAAATCCCATACAAACATTAGACAACCGCATCCAAAGAACCTTAAACAAGCTTACCAAAACAGGTCAGATCACAAAACAAGACCAATGGCGAATGAAATCCAATGGACCAGTCCTAACCCGATTTTACGGCAGACCCAAAATACACAAGCAAAATATCCCGTTACGACCAATTGTATCACTCCCAGGAAATCCAACATACAATTTATCCAAAGAATTATACAGAAAATTGAAACACCTAACAGAATCTTGTGATCACTCCATCAATTCTGCTATCCAATTTCTAGAAACTATCAGAGGCATCCAAATAGATGACCAAGAAATAATGATATCCTTCGACGTCACAGCATTATATACCTCAGTTGGACAGAAACTAGCAAAAGAAACCATGGAGCAATTACTCGGCAACGACGAACACTCCACAGCAATCAAAAATGCAACACACAAGCTGGATGGAATGTATAAACCTATGCCTAACAACGTACTTCCAATTCAACGGCCAAATATATGAACAAGTCAAAGGAACACCCATGGGATGGCCAAATATCAGGTTTGATTGCAGAAGCAGTGAGTGATGCAAAGACTCGAAAACATAATTCTACCAAAGATCAAACCAAAAATTTGGATACGTTACGTAGACGACACATTTGTAATAATCAAAAGAAACAAATTGGATAAAACTCACAACTTAATAAACAACGTCTTCAACGACATCAAATTCACAAAAGAAGAGGAATCCGAGAGCAAAATCCCATTTCTGGACGTCTTAGTCAAGCGAACAACCACAGGGGAATTAGAAACTCAAGTTTATAGAAAATCAACTCACACAGACCAAATACTGAATTACAAAAGCAACAATCCAATAAATAAATATGATGGTCATTAGTATGTACTTTTGTTTTATTTAACTGATAATTTTCATGAACTTTATTTTATCATTGTTAACCATGTTAGTGTAAAGGGTGTAAAACACACAAAAAATTGTATACTAACACTATTCAAGAGGGCCAGGACTCATTGCAGCACTCTCACCTTAAGGAAAATTGAAGAAAGATATCTCATGGACGTCTTCCAAAAGAATAGATATCCACGGAATTTCATCAAAAGGCATATACCCCCAAGCCAACCTATCAAGTCAAAGGCCCCCAAGGAAAGCACAAAGATAAATAGCCCTACCATATATAAAGGACAACATTTCAGAAATCACTGCAAGACTTTTCAAACCTTTAGGAATTGACATCGCACACAAACCAACAAAATCAATTCACTCAGCTCTATGTCAACCAAAAGACTGAACAAGGAAAGAGGATAAAACCAACATCTACAAAATAAATTGTAACGACTGAGAAAAACACTACATTGGCCAAAGTGGACGTCCCCTTTGTCTTCGTATCCATGGACATAAACTAGCCGTCAAAAGACATGATATCCACTCCCTCATATCACTACATACAGACAACCACGGACACCAATTCGACTGGGACAACGTTCAAATATTAGACAGAAGATACACCGAGAATTCTAGACAATTTTTAGAAGCCTGGTATTTTAGTGAATCGTCAATCAATAGACACATTGATACAGCAAAATTTACCAATCGTTAAGAAGGAAACCTCACACACAAAGGGTCAAAGTTCAAGTAAGCAAGCAATCAGTTGCAATACAAATAGCCTAGAGGGTGTGAAAACACACGAAAACAACCAATCTCGTTCAAGGTTACCCGCCAGGAGAGATGACTTATAAACTCGTGGAGAAATCTAAAAGCTCACTTCAAATTGAAGTATGCGCTGAAGATATTGTCTGGTAGGGCAATGAGAGCTTCGCAAATTAACTATCCATCTCACAGAACACAACCACATCAAGATCATCCACCCGAGCTTCTCCATCATATGTTATATCATCCTTTAAGATTGTGAGAAATTGCTCTGGAATTTATAATGCACTTTTTTCGTTTTCCTTTGAGATTTATAACATGTTATTTTGGTAATGTTAATTTTGGTATTTGTGAGTACTGTTAAAATGTTATCAATTTAAGTTATTATAAGCCTCCAAGTAACGAGTTTGAACTCAACCCAACTTATCACAGATTTCACACAAATCATATATTCGATATGTGGATAGATCAACAATGGAGTGTCTTTTATTGGTGATATGGTGATCGATGCCCAGTCTGCAGACTGATCAAAACAAAGCGATCAAAATACGTATTAGAATTGGCTTAAGCAAACGATCGATGTGAAGTCTGTATATAAGCCAATCAGAACTGGTCTCCACAAAGAAACGCCCACTATTTTATTAATCATGATTACAAACTAATTGTCAGATCCTTGGTGGTATTTTGAATCAGACATTATTGTGTAAAATTAACTTTTCGGCTCACATTGTCGTGTGTCCTCGCCTGAGTAGTGCGGGCTGGGAAAACAGGTAACTGATGAATAATGTTATTGGCGTAGTCAAGCGGTATTCATGATCAGCGCGAGTATCTAACTCGGCATCTTTATTTCAGTCCGCAGGTTTTGCTATAAGATAAAGACATTGAAAGATCTATTTAACATTTTGCATTTGCTCGGGTTTACCTTACTAACACAAATACTATAATTTTACCTTATTCGCATATGGTTGAGATGCACTAGGATTTTTCTCTTTTTTCATGACAATGTCTTCCAAGATATTTCAAGGAGTTGAAGCAGTGTCATCCCCACTATGCAACTGTCACTTTTCAGCTTTGAAACCTCATTTGGCTAGCGTACACCTCAAGTATTGATGTTAAGACAATGTAAATGTTTTTTTAGATACCTGAATAGCTTAGCAATACACTCCAAAGATTCGTGTGGAATACTATGAATAAACTTAGCAACTGATGGTTGAAAGGCTTTTCATTTGCTTTTTGTTAGGCGGGCTAAGAGTACTAACAATACTCATTACTCTTGATCCAGTAAACGCACTAATGCTTAATCGATAGGAGTATATAGAAAGCCTACATGGAACGGTCAGCTAACAAACTTTTACAGTTGGGTACCCATCAGTTGCAAGCGGAACCTAATAAGATCTCTTGAGACTAAGGGATCCGGAAAAATTTGCAGCCATGAATCAGTAGATGAAGAGATCACTCTTTTAAGGAAGACACTTGAGAAACTTGAGGATGGATACCCCGTCCCCCACCCACGCTTTGTAGACAAACACATAAAGCTCGAAACCAAAACAGAACACCCCATCTCTATGCCGAAGGAAATCCTATACATGAATGTGGCGTTAAAATGCAACCTTCTGGCCGACACCCTAAATAAGAGAGAATATCAAACACTCTGAAAAGAACATTCTTTGCTGCTATATTACGATTGGTATTCTCAAGCCACCCATTGTTCTTCAACAACTCCAAAGATTAACTATCGCATTTGACCACTTATGTGTATACCTACCAATTTACAAGTTCATGTGGGGCGAGGTACATAGGTCGCTCCCTGCGTGTTTGGTCGCGCTATGTCGTGAATTGGCAGAAGTTAGAATTCAAGAACCATTGGATCGGGTCCCAGTGGCTCAATGGTCTACGAGCTCGCCTTGTAACCAGAAGGTCCTGGGTTCGAACCCCAGTGGGTGCGTACTGATGAGGAGTCCCAAACTAGGACGAAACAGCTGTCCAGTACTCCCAGGTTTTCCAGTGGTTCTCTAACTGATGTCAGCTCATGATTAAATCCTCCATACAATCAAACCAAATCCCTACAAAACCAACACTTGATCTAAAATAGTTAAAGGACATTATCGTGCTTGGCTACGAAAAGATAACAATGGATCAATAAGGAGTGTTGCAATTGAACACCTATTCATCATTGGTCACTCAATGAATATGTAAGGCGAATTCATTCAAAGTTATCTACATAGTCCAAAGAAGCCTTCCCCAAACTGTAAGCTTCCGTATACTTTCCATTGCAAGGGTCCTAGCGATCTGGATAGAAAACCCTGATTCATATACACAGAAGAAAATTCTCCACCTTCTCCTTCCTTCTACCTTGGATATATAATTCCACGTTCAACGGTTATCAATACTATTTTGTGCACTTTTCGTATGACATTTATTATCATCACTTTGTCTTAACTAACCTTCTATTTACTCTTTTCACCTACTACATAATTTATTTTGATACTCGTCTCTACGTTCTTTCGTTAACATCCAATTCTTTCTGAAAGTTTTTATATTACGTAACCCTACTGTAAGCTTAAAAATCTTCCCCCTCACCCCTCCCAGTTGTAACTCTAATTAATCATCTCATTTTTGAAATATTTGGATGGCGTGAACAGTAACCAAAACTAATTTTTATTCTTGTTTGATAAACCTAATATGTATACACATACAAGAAAATAATTATGTATAATTGCGAACGTACAGCTAGGTGGATGAGTCCGCCGGAAAGACTCTCTTCGCCAAACTGTTCGTTCTTATTTCAATGACAACTTGTTGGAGATGATGGGTAGAATTTTGTTAGAAGCTACTATGCTAAGCAGTATATCCAAACTCATACCATTGAAATGTCTACGAGCCAAGCTACAGGTGTACTTCATCTTATAAAAATCAAGTGAGTTAATAATCCAAATTTAAATGTATACATACACCTATAAAGCGGTAGACTTACATTTTTTCTAAAACTGGAAAAGCATCAAATGCTTGACATCGTTCATCTTTGTATAAGGTAGCTAACAGTCTAGCTCTTTGTTGACCTGCTACAGACAAAAGTGCTGCTGCTAATGCACGTTCCAAAAAAGATAATCTCTGTGAATCATCTAACCAAGGGAATCGTACAGACAATTCAGCGTATCGTTGACCAGCTTCAAGAAATTTTTGTTTTAAATCTAGTAACTGTGCATAAGCTATCTGAAAATTTGAAAGAAAATAAAGTAGAGTAACGATAGAGAAAGGCAAAGCAAAAAGAACTGAAATCTCTTTGGTCGAGAAATCTAATTTTCGATAGGTAATATATATTCGTCTAAAACTATTTACCTATTCACTAACATATCTTCCGGTTTTACTCCAACTTCATTTCACTGCAGTTATCATCTGATTAACTATGGTCTTGATACGTGCATACTTACTTTTATGGATTATCTCTCACGTCTACACCACTGGCCATATATATATATATATATATATATATATATATATATATACGCCATTGTTTCCTTTTGTAAATGTACTGACGCTGGGCTGGGGAAACAGGTAGCTTTGGTATACGTTGATGGCGTAGCTTCGCGATATTCGTGATCAACCCATCTGCATTCACCCGGACTTCCCTATATCAACCCAACGTCATTTTTGCAAAATATAAAAGTGGCGACATCATAGCATATTGGAGACGGGCATGTTGGACAAATTTCTCGAACAACCAATTTAGTCCAATCTGTACGCTATGGTGCTCCTGAAATCATTGCAGTTAGCCAGACCTTTCGAGACCTTGGTATCAATCTCCGGTCAAACACCACTTGGTCTTACTGCAAACCTCTATCGTTCCAGTTACTCACGCAATAGCAATCGACGCCTAAAGATGACATCTTTATCATCCTGCTAGCATTACGGTGCTTGATATTTCGTCAAATCTAATCGGTATAAGCAACACCGGTGCCAAGATTGCAATAATGTTGGTCGCAAAGATGGCTTTAGCCAACGACACAAATAACGGTCGTCCTTGACAAGTCGCTACAGACGCTGTTTTTAATCACCATATTCGTCAGTGTTCAGACTCTATATCGCCAAGACGGCGCTACGCGTGTTTTCCAGCTCATTGTCCTTATATCAACCTACCATTGTTTTTGTAAAATATAAAAGTGGCAACATCCTAACAGGTCTAAATGGTAATGTTTTTTTAAAGGCGATATTTTGAAGAAAAGCATTGTTCTACTCGTCAGGTTCTTTGAAAAGAATCTATAAGCTACTACACGACACTGTAACAAAGGAAAAATGACCAAACCACAGTTTATTTTATTTCATTTAAAAGGAAATATACATTTGAACAAGTATTAAATTAGCAGCATTTGAATTTATTTTTATTTGTTTTAAGAACAAGTTTGGTACAATGTGGAAACCAAGAGATGCACCATACAACAACAAGTAAAACAACAATATATAGAGAAAATAGACAGAGAACAAATCAAGATCAAACAACACTCATTACTTCACGGTACTTTCAGAGAGAGAGAGAGAGAGAGAGTAGAAAGAAGGAAATTGTAGCATGTTCGTCAGTGATTGAGATTCTAGGCCATATCTGATAACATTTCGAGTCATCGACTCGAACTACCTTTCGGACCTCAATCAGAGAGTTGTGATGTACAAACTGATGCAAGTCTAACACAAATATCCTTCATCCCATGGTGCTACGCCATAGGCTGATCACATCTCCACTGTTTCTATCCGGTCCAAGGTCTAGCAGACAGAGACCGGTACTCAGACCTCTGTTTTCTGCAGTTATCTTCCGCTGACCCTACAATTTCCCGTAAGCTTTCATCTTTTCCATATTACCCTCGGACCAACGTCCAGCTCGCCGTTTCTCATTCGGGTTCCACTTGAGCTATGACCTGAAATGCGATTTCACCCAACGGTTTTCTCAGCGTGTGACCTGTTAATGTCCATTTTCTTCAACATACTTGTTGAGCAATACACTCTTGGTCGGTTTTTTCCCTGTCCGAGTTTCTTGTTGATAATTATCTCTGGCCAGCTTATCTTCAGTATGGAGCCAGTGAAGGCAGCTGTTTACAGAAATCTGCAGTAGCCTGCTAGAAATGCTCTCCGTGACAAGCTCAGCAAGTTTCTGACTCATATAGAAGAAATGACTGACTTAACATTGGTGTTGAAAATCCGGATTTTGTATTTTGTGTTTAGGTGAGACTTCCAAACTGATTTCAGAGTGATGAATGTCTGTCCGGCTTTTCCGATTCTGCCTAGATAGGTGAAAGCAGTGAACCTCCTTCAAATTTATTCAGTTAATATTGATTGGTGCTTTTTTTGTTGCTGTTGTTGTTGATTACTTTCATCACCTCCGCTTGCTCTATGTCCACTTGAATTCCTGTGTTTCCCTTCAGGCATTTTCTGTTAACTTGGTGGTTTCGGCCTGTTAGTCTTCGAGTTTGTGTGACACTAGACATAAATCTTCCACGAAGTCCAATATCTTCTAGAGTCGTCTTATCAGTCTAAGAAATTCCTGTCTTATCGCTCCCCACTTATAGTCTTCCGCATAATCCAGTGTAATACAACTAGGAATATCATCGGTGATAGTAGTCAGCTTCTTCCTACTCCTAACATTCTTACTCAACACTAATATAATTGCGTTTAATAGATCATTTTAAACTGAACCTTTTTTACAATACGCAATACAAGTACAGATAATGATGCACAGGCTTTTAAATTTCAGAAGAAAACCGCTTACCTTATAACGAACCAATAACTGTTGATCCTGACACTCTGGTTGTAGTAAAGATGCACGATTAACGAAGGCCTCAGCTTCTTGAGTTTCATGCAATTTTAGATAATACTCGGCTATTCTCAAATAGACGTCCAACTTGTAATTTGCTCCGTAGACCCTATTCATATGGTATTTGGATTTTAGGAGAAAAATAATTATAGAAAGTCATAGTATGCATCACTGAGTGAAAATTATAGTGAATAATATATATATATATATATATATATATATATATATATACTTAGAATGGTGCCAATCTCTGTGTATATAATGCAACTTAATCGCTAAAATATTCACTTAAAAGTGAAGCGTTGAGACTTAGTGATATGTATCCACATGATGTGTGTTTTGTTTTTGACAGTCTATTATATTTTGCTATGTGTATATGGATCGATATTTCATTATAACTGACAATATGCTTGCGTCTGTCCACTAACTAAATAAACATGTATGACCTTGTTGTCACATGACATTACAACCAATCATGGTAAGACGTTATCTTATTGGTTGATGTGTATTAGTCATTTTCATATATACTCTTGCTTTATTATTCTTGTTCATTCTTCTTGTTCACACATTTCGTACATCTAAGTACCCTTCCACTCACACACTTGTGTGACATTTATTTTCCTTGTCTGGAAAATACAAGTATCATCGTAACCCTAGTGGTCTTCTGATTTCCCTCTTTCCGCGTCAGGACTATTAACTACTCGACGAGTACACAACACTTAGCTATTTGACGTGAGATCACAAGTTGATATCAGTTAGAGAACCACTGGACAATCTGGGAGTATTGGACATTTATTTCGTCCTAGCCCGGGACTCTTCATCAGTACGCGCCACCAGATTTCAACTCTCCATAAGATCTTACATAGCTGAGTGATTTGATTAGTGTGATATACTTTCTCAGCACTCCCTTCACGACCTAGCAATGTCACAGCACTTTCAGGCTGATGGAGTTAAGTACCACCTTCAGGTTGAGAAATATGGCGATCGCTGGGCACTGGTGAGTATGGTTGTATTCCAGAATCCACCCAAGAGTGAATACATGGTCAATATACGTTCTTTCTAACCTAATGCCTGACTGGTTTTCTTGAATTTGTTTTTCCCGAGAACCATTTAGTCTGCACATGATTGTTGAACCTAGAACCTTAAATACTATGTTAATTAAGGTTATCCCCCCTAGGATTAATGCAATCTCCCAAGTGAGATGACAAGTACACGTAACGACTTCGCTTCCTATATTTAGAATATCAGTGAAGACCAATTCTGTAGCATCACATCCTCACGCCAGACACATTCACATTTTCGTTTAGAACCTCTGGGGGACCCTGCACTTTATCAGCGTATTCACTTACGTTACCTGCGTATCCCGAATCAACGATACCTTTCTTATCTTAGTAGCAGGCTAACACCTAAGACTTTGAAGATAGCTTAAGTTACATTCGTAAGTAAATCTACAAAGAAATTAGCTGATAACAACGGTTACATTGCGCATCTCTGACGGTCACTAGTAGTTGTCATAACATCAAACAGTAACTAGTTATAAGCTGTTAGACGGATGCATTTATTCAAAGCGATTACCTTTGTTGCCATTAAAAATTCCCTCAGTATACGTCCCTCCCAACTAGACATAGCTACAGGCAAATCAAATGCCACATCAAGCCAAGTGTCCGCTTTCTGTAAACATGTCTATATTTTGCGAACCTGCTGAAGGGTGAAAGTATTGTTGGTGTATCCTCACATAGGCTTTAGATCTGTCTGATTTTTCAAGCTCAGTTTAGTCTTCATACAACTAAAAGTCATCACCAAATACTGTCCACAGGTGTGGAGAAGACCTTTAACCAGCTTCAAATTTCCATCATATTCACAGTCGATAATCGTCTTGCACCAAATATTTTGATGAGCTTACAAAAATCGAATGGCTGTTATTGACTTTTGGCCTCAGGTTATCAAGTGTCTTCTACAGCAGACAATATAATACCAACAAGCTTTCTTAGGACGAGTACGGTCACGATATTTTTATAAACGTTTAGTTATCCCCTCATTAAATACAGACTTTATGTTATCACCAAAACTGTGGACAAATACGCCATAAGAAAGAAGCAATTCATAGTTAGGAAACAGAGAAAGTTAAAACCGAAGCAAAATAAAGTGGGAAATCTTTCATCATTATTTTATTCCCTCAACGTATTATGAACTCATTAATATACTGTAAGCCTTACAAGTCGTCATTTAGGTAGAATAAATTTTTTTAAGCACGTAACCAAGTAAATAAAAAACTTATAGCTACCTACTATCAGATACCTTTACGCTTTTTATCCATTACCGATGTGAGGTTCTGTATTCAATAATACTGAACTTAACTCTACGTTAAACTAGGTCAGTTTGTATCCATTTAGTCAGCTTGATTTTTGTATTTAAATTTTATGGAAATAAAGAACATTAACAGCCTGCATTGAACAATACTAAACTCAAATCTTAGAAGAATAAAAACCACTTACCGTTGTCCACTTTCTAAAGGAATATCTGTTAATACATTTGCTGCTTCCCGGAGATTCCCTACAGCTTCCAACCGCTTTGCAAGTGAATCACGCAATTCAACCAACTGAAAGCTCTTAGAAACAATACACAAGATAACTTTACTTGAGATTCAAATGCAATGTTTCTTTGTTGGAGTCGAGGAAGTAGAATTTGAAATGCACCAATTGCTACAACGTTATCACTGAATCCATTCACGAAGCTTATAAGTTCATCACAAAGCTTCCTAGCCGTTAAAACTGTTACCATATCCTGGGAAACTGTAAAAATATACACTGAAAATTTGGTTACTTGTATACACAATTGTGGTTATACTGGACAATAAACTGTCAGAAGACTGTGGAATAGATTTGAGTAGGTTGAGAACCTAAAATAGATACATGCATACATCTTCAATTTACAAACTTCTCAGCAGCTTCTTTTGGAGCTTTACATGCAGTAATTTCAGCAAGAGATGAATTTATGTCCTCCATAGTCGTTGATTTCTTGAGTTAAAACCCTGTAGTAGAAAAGAGAGAGAGATATGCAATAAGGACAAGAGAATTATCCCTTAGAGTAATGAAAACAAGATCTATGATCGACTGAGTGAGCTTTAAACCTGGAACCTTGCACCAAAACTCAAATTACTACACACGACCCTATACGTTGCAGTTGTCTACCAGGGTTTGTTATTCTCTACGATAGCAATACATATAAAAATGAGACATTAAAATTAAAAAATGGCTAGTAAAACCACTTGCATCTTGAAAGAATTTTCCGCCAGAAACCACTGGGTTCCTATGCGTTCCTTACAACTTGTAGATGAGTGTCGGTCTATTCCGGTAGACAGGGAGTACAACAACACGCGCAAGACCAAACAGGACCGTGAAGCCCGGTGGTTAGAACGTGCGTGTGAGATGAAATCAGCAGCTTCAAGAAGCACTGTGTAAGCGAGATGGTGTGTGAGATAGATAGTACACCAGGGACGCTGGAGAGAGAGCTCTTTGAGATGTAGTTTCTGTCTGTCTGGATTCAAAATAGAACTTGGCACCGAAGTGCAGCAGTTCGAGTTGCCACGTTCCAAATAGCACACAGAGGTAGACAAGAAGATGGGTGAAGAGAATCAATAGAGTTTGACAAGTATAAGAGTGAAACAGAATGGGTAATGGTAGAAAGGAATATGAAAGATTACAGAGACTGAATACATATGCGCCATTGACAACGATTTTGAGCCATGTCACCTATTGTCTCCAGCCATTGATTCCTAGAGTCCCGAGGGCCCCAACCCGGAAGTCTGCATCTCCCTACCTTACTCAGTTTAACTGTCAAGGATTTCATGGATTGATGAGGCCATGTTTTTGTTTGGCCACCACTTACCCTTTTCCAACCTGCACCTATATCAGCTAGCAATGCCCGTCGGGGAGGCTATGGTTAGGCATGCGCAGCACGTGACCTAGCCATCTTAATCTGTGTAACTTTATAGCCTCGTCGATTGATTTCCCCTCTTTGCCCAACACTCTACGCCGAACGTCAACATTACTTACCTTGTGAAACCACCTAACGTGAGACAGAGATCGCAGACATCTATGATCGAAAGCAGTCAACCTTTTCATGTCTTCAACGCGTATTGGCCATGTTTCAGAGCCATAGAGAAGGACGGAGCGAACTGCTGAGCAGTACACACGTCCCTTGGTTGATAGCCGGATGTCACGCCTACACCAGAGGTGGTGTAAGTCAGCGAAAGCAGCTCGAGCTTTTTGGATCCTTGCTGAGATCTCGTCGCCAATCAGTCCGTTGGTGCTAATACAACTTCCCAAATAGGTGAAGTGGTCAACATGTAGTTTAGCTGACCAATAGTGCTCACATCAATACCATAAACTAAAGTGCTCCATGGTTTATTAATACCTACCCACCAAAAGAAGAGGAGTTCCGAGAGAAAATCCAAACGTTGAAACTCTACAAGGCACCTGGCCCAGACAATCTACCCCGGCTCTTTTTAAAGATGTTAGCGAGACTCCCATCAGGGTTTTGACCGAAGAAAGTATGGGAGATTGAGAGTGTTCCACGAATGTGGAGTGAAGTCATCCTCGTGCTCATCTTTGAAAATGACCGATGTAATACACAGGGATACTAGTTTGCTAATAGTTGCGTCTAAAATATTGGCTGCTATCTTGCTTCGCATGCTGTGAAAAATAAGTGAGGAACTGATTCGCGAAAAACAAGCTGGATTTCATTCAGGTTGTGGATGCATTGATCATATGTTCACTCTTCGTCAGTTGACAGAACACTGTCATACATTCTGCAGGCCAACAATCGATGTCTCTTGATATTAAGGCTGCGTTCAATTCACTGGACAGAACTGTTATCTGGAACTGTCTGTTACAGGGAGATGTTTTTTTCCTTCACGTTCCCAGTGGAACATAGGGCTTCAAGCTAGAGGCTTGAAGTTTCTGTAGCAGTGTTTATTTTTACAGAGTGAAGTTGCCCAAACTTTCCTCTTTACCGACTTTTTATTACTGGTTTGGCGAGGTAAAGGAGTGCGTCGGTCGGGAACCGAACCCCGGACGGTATGCTTCGTCGGCGAGTGTCACTTATTTGGGAAGTACCATCAGCCCCAACGGGTTGATCTCAGACGAAATCTCAGCACAGATACAGAAGGCTAGTTTCGCATATGCCAATTTACGCCGTCTCAGACGTAGACGTGATATCCGGCTGGCTATCGACCAAAGGGCGGGTGTACCACTCAGCAGTCCACTCCGTCCTCCTTTATGAAAAGCTGTGAGACGTGGCCATTGAGAGTGGAAGACATGAAAAGGCTAGCTGCCTTTGATCATAGGTGCCTGCGCTCTAAATCCCGTGTGAAGTGGTATAGTAAGGTGAGCGATATTGAGGTTAGGCGTCGAGTGCTAGGAAAGGAGGGGAAATCAATCGACGAGGCTGTGAAATTACATCAACTAAGACGGCTAGGACATGTTACGACGCATGTCTAGTCATTGCCTTCCTCGACGGACAATGTTAGCTGATATAGGGTCAGGCTGGAAAAGAGCTAGCGCGGGTCAAACCAAAACGTGGCACCAGGCAGTGGAATCCACAACAGTTAGTTTAAGCCACGTAGGAAGGTGTAGACTTCCTGACTGGTTGGGGTCCTTGGTACGGTGAGACCCAATGGCTGAGAACATTTGGTGATATGGCTCAAAATCGTTCTCAATGGCCGGCGCAAATGCATCCACTTCTTGTGACTTATGATTTCCAATGAAAATATATTGTTTTTTGTTATTACTATTCCTTTGTCTCACACCTCTGTTTGCTGTCTCTATTATGCATTTCTTCTACTTTCTTCTCTTGCTTTGTGTGCTACAAGGAGGGAGTGTGGGGACTTGAACTGATGCATATCGGTGCAAAGTTCTGTGTTGAAAACAGACAGAGAAACAGTATTCTAACCAATGTGCCACCGATGCACTACAGAGAGATGCACCTGAGAAGTTTGCTAACATCGTGAAGGCTTTTACAGAAACATTCTAAATGGATTCAGGGTATACAACCAGCTATCACCACTTTTCTCAACCAACAATGGGTTTACACAGGTTTTTCCAATCTCTCCACTTTCCTTTAATTTAGCTATCGATGGCATCCTGGTGACAGCTCTGAAGAATGTGTATGGTGGCGGTACATATCTGCCTCCTGGAGAGACTTGTCTACTACGGGTATGCAGACGAATTCACTTCGCTACGCTACAACATGCAAGCTGTCCAAATGGGACTTAACCAGCTGGTGTTCAGTATTTATAAGTGTGGTATTCGCTTTCACAATCTGAGTGCAAAGTTTTGCTGTCAGATTGGCAAGAGCATATACCAGTACTCAACTTTACAGGTACCGCTTGGATTTGTCGGTGAGTTCGTGTATATAGGTTGTTGACGATGTGACGGAGAGATGGTAGCGTTCTCCAGTGTGATCCATATCTGGCTCCGTCAGCCTGGCCTTCATAGGTCAGGCTAACAACGCTTCGGTGGATACAGTCTTGCTCTGCGACTATGAAACCTGGCCTTTCCGAGCTGAGGGTTTGCGGTGAATCTGCGGTTGGGTACTGTGTTTGGAGACAGTGGAGGTCACTTTTCACTGTGTGATCGTCGTGAAATAAAGACTTCGGTGGCTTAAATAGGTGCTATGTCATCCCAGAGACTCACACCCGTGGCAGTTCGCCATTGCTGGGAATGAATGAAAAAAGTAGAGGTGGTCAGGTTATGACGCGGTACAGTGAAGGATATCTGTTAGGGTAGCACCTGCTGATAAATCAAGGCTGCTTGGGTTGAGTGTAAGGGATAATTCAAGTCGGCAGCCCAAGACGTCATCAGATAAGACCAAGAATTATAATCAGTGGCGAACATGCTACAATTATCTGCTATTTTTGAATGTGATATGAATGGATAATGAATGAAAAACATACTTGCTTTCTGGACTACCTCCCTTACTAATTCTACCCATATCTTCATGAAGTTTCATAATTGGTGTGATGCATCCCTAAGTACCTGTAATGTTTACTAATTATTATTACTAATTAATTATTAATTAGTCTCCGATTACTTTCATTTTTACACTGCCTTAGGCGTACAAAGTCAGACGGAGCAAGGTACAAATTCACTGTAAATAGCACCACATCTTGAAACAGTGAGAAATTCGGAGGTACACAGAAACAGAATTATATTTTTATAACCAAGAGTCTTGAGGGAGAGGGAAGTGTACATTTAAAAACGAAACAGTAACGTTGCGATCTATCAAGAAGGATCTAGACATACAACTCAAGCTACTATACATACCTACGCCAACAGCTAGGGACCTCGTATATGACATAGCTGCTCTGAGCTTTTTCTCGGTTTTATAATGCCTTTTACGGATGATCGTAACGGCAGACGTTGTGTTGATCTGCAAGCACCTCAAATAAATAAGTTTGACCTGCGTTTCCTGTTTCAAAAATTACATTTTAATATATCTTTTAAAAGCGAGACATCTATCATTGTGAACCAATTATTTACCATAACTTCTGCATTTCAACACTGAAGAGTGTACAGCTCCCACAATACACTTAATACAACACCAAATTAAAGTAAAATGAATCATTAACGTGGAGGTTTGTACAGAGATGCACCAGATCAAAAAATCATAACAGTACGGAACGAAGTATAATGGAACTGAAACAGACGAGAATCTACGAGGGGGAAGAATAATTAAATAATAAGCTAGGACTGTTACAGTTTGGAAGATGTCCATGAGCA